CATCGAAAATTTTCAGGGAACACATATTCTTGATCGCCGTAAAATTCTCTATCGAATGGTGTCTGAAACATCGAAAAAAAAATTTTTGCTCGAATTTTGCTTTGCGTGCACCTTACAATATTAGCAAACTATTTCTCAAATTTCGTCACAGTGGAGTTCTAATATTTCTCGACCGATCCGTATAAAATTTATGTGAAAACATTCGTCTGATAGTTATATATTTGGAAGGCAGAACGATGGGAGAAAATATTTTTTTTATCAATTGATCGTTTGTAGGGTTTGCTACAAATAGCGTCCTGGATCCGATGCTTTGTCTATTCTCTTCAACATTTCTATAAACGGTGCTAGTGAACCATTGAAAATTGATAACTTTTCCTTTCACTGTGAAAAAAGAGTGCACTTTAGGTGCCTGAGAGGCAACCCCATTTTTTTTCAATAAGAAGATATTTTCACATAAACGACGCGTCATGGTGCCTTACGAAGGCGCCTGGATTCAAATTTTATGCATCCACAGTGTCTTTGTGAGACATCGTGGATATTTAGTCAACCAAGGTCGAAGAATAGTACTAAGATCGTACGAGAAGTAAGAAGTGATATGATTCGTACTGTCGGATCGTATGGTTTCTTAGAGTACTGATCTGATTATACGACGGTTAGGTGTTTCGTACGGAACCTTGCAGTATGACTCGTACCAAATCGTTTGGTAAAAACCTTACGTGTTCGTATCGTACGAATTCATACGATTTGAGTGGAAATCATACTCTTGACATTATTTCTCTGCTTTTGCCTCGATTCATACTTAGAATGCCTGAAAAGGCCTACCCTGGTGAGTATACTTGAGATCAAGTACTTAGCTATTTGCAAATTTTCTAAAATACTTGGTTGAGCACTTGTCAAGCATTTTAGGTTAAATACGTGCCAAGTACTTGGAAGAACTTCGGATACTAGCATATATTTCGCAAGTACTTGCCGGATTACCTGCCAAATACTTGACGAAGTACTTATCTAGTACGTATACTTGTTAAATTACTTGATAAGTACCTATTTTACTTGCAAAAAGCTCCAGGTACTCTGGACATTACTTACCCAAGTACTTTTCTAAGTACTTGGTCTCAAGTGCATTCACTAGGGATAGATTCTTGTTTATATACGTTTTTCAGTGTCTAATATTAGAAAATGCCTTGAGACTTCAAAAACTTCAGATCGATTTAAAAGTTCCCTGAGCGCCTTTTTATGCTTACTGTTCATGAAAGAACAAAATTTATGGGAGAAAGAACAATTTACATTCCTTCCTGATACTAGGCGAACATAGTAGACATGAGAACTCAGAACCAGAGATGTCTTGACTAGGTACGAGAATGACTTTGTGTCTAACAAGAGTTTCGATGCCTTGAATGCAGGTACATGATTTATCCATGGCTGATGGATGACTAAGTGTCTGGGCCGTAGCTATGCGCGGAGGATGCATTTTGAAGCCCTCATGGTGATTTATCAAGACACTTTTTTGGACAAGATTTTCATTTCTTTCCGAGAACTGACTTACTGAAGAGCGTATTGTTTTATCGTAATCGCTACTGTCTAAATGTGTTACCAATAAATTCTGTATCTCACGAATTTTGTTGCTTTGATCTGGGGCTAGTTCAAGCACTCAGAGGTTATATGATCAAAGAAAATGTTTTTCGTTGTTTTTTTAGTGCGCATAACAGACCTACCACCCATTTGTCAGACTTATTTAACTTTAGAGCAGATGAATAGATTTCTGCAGATAAGACAAGACTCACTACAATAAATGAGGAAATCGGATCACATTTATATAATACCCCGGTCATTATTCGTTTACTTTACATAATATTCTGATGTCAAAGTCGAAGGGCACTCTCATACAATCTTAAGGATATCATTTTTTTCCAACTATGATTCAAAGTTTGAAATCGTGCGTATTATTTGCAAAACAACATCCATTGGTATTTATTATCTGTATAGCTATATTTATTTGTTTCGGTTTTTTTAACTTGTTTAAAAACTATCGTTCTTCTATTAAACATGCACGTCTTCCAGTTAATCAATTAAACATTTCCGCTAAACAACGACATTTATCAAAATTGACTCAAATTTTTAAATGTTATGGGGACATTGACGCAAAATATTTCAAAAAGTTTTATCAGCTCGATTGTAAAAATCCATTTTTGGAAACACTTTCACGACTACCCATGCCAGACGATGTTTGTGATGTATTTAATGGGTCGGTGAACGGAAAAGCGTTGTATTCGAAAATTTCTAGTGACTTCAAATCTTTTACAAATAAAATAAATAAAAATGATATTGAACTTATGTCGAAATCTTGTCCAGCGTGTCATCATGTTCAAATTATTAATAAACAATTATATCTAGTCCAACAAAAATCACCAAGTTATGAAACACGCAGTCGAAGTTCAAAAATGTTGCTGAAAGAAGTAGTTGATACATTTGAAAATATACCAGATTTAGAAATGTTTTTAGATTTGCGTACGTAGAATTCACGTTTTAAGTTGGTTATTACCTATTACCTTGGTGAGCTTTGTCTCACAACTAAATGTTGTGCAAATAGTAAGAAACAGAAATAACGTATGCTTTCCAGAAAGTTTTTGAGTGAGATAAGAGCCACTTGCAATATGACCATGCATAATTTGTGTACTTCTCAGCGTGTTTTAGAAAATGCTAGATATTTTTTGAAGTATCCAATGAAAAGCCCAAGAAAAACCTCTACACATTTATTAGTAGAACTAAATAGTTATCTTTCCTAAATTTACTCCCCCAAGTTTGTAATGCGAGAGTATATAATCAAATGTAAACAAAGGACGGGAAATAGTTTCTGCAAGAAAAATCACCCAGTATGATTTTGAGCATGAATCGCTAGAATTATCAGAAATGCTTCCGCGCTCCACCTGAAAATTCGTTTAAACTTTCAAAACTTCTAGAAAACCTTCAGAGAGAAGTCACTTACAATTTTTCATTACTGTCTTTTCTAGGTTTCTAGAAGAGGTTTTGAAAGTTTAAACCAATTTTCAGGTGAAGCGCCGAACATTTCTGATAGTTATAGACGATTCACGCTCAAAATCATATTGGATGATTTTTGTTGCAGAAATCATTTCCCGTTCTTTTAACGAAATCAATACAAGCCTTCTTTGTTCAGGTGATTCAGTGAATTTAAACGAACTAAATGGAGTCAAGTTTAATGTACCAATATTTGGTTTGACAAAAAGTACGGAACGTCTAAGCCAGTATTTTCATTCTGATGGTATCATCTTAATGCCATGTTTCTCATTCTGGAGTTGGCCTGAACCGAGACTTGGACGGTGGCGAAATAAATTAGAAACAGTTCCACAAATAGCCGAAAAAATTCAATTTCAGGAACGAACTAATAGTGTATTTTGGAGAGGAGCCCCGACAGGTGAGCGACAATGGTTTTCTATGCTGAGTAAAAAGAACCAATCAATATTGGATATTGAATTTATACAATGGTCAAATGTCAATATTATTATGTTAAATTACGCTGGAAGTTATAAAACCATCGAAGAACATTGTCAATATAAGTATTTGTTACACCAAGAGGGATATTCTTATTCATCTCGCTTAAAATATTTATTATTGTGCCGTTCCGTTGTTATTTTTGCTCAATTTAACGGCTGGGAAGAATATTGGTATCCTCTACTAGAGCATAAAGATAATATTGTTATATTCAAAGATAATGGCAATGAAACAACATTTTATAATTTACTCCAGTATTTATTTGATAATCAAAAAAAGGCAGAATCCATTGGTAAAAAAGGTCAGGAATTAGTCCAAACATATCTGAATGAACAAGCTGTCATTTGTTACATGAGAAATCTTCTAATTGAATATAGTAAATTATTCAACTATACCCCTACAGTTCATTCGATGGCTATCAAAATAGATGATTTCATATTAAGTTCTAATCCGTAGGTATATATCTAGTAATAGTAGATATTAAGTTTTTATATTCAATTCATTTGATGAAATTCTTTGGAAATCTATTATGGAATTCATCGGAATTTTATGCTGTCATTATTATTATTAGACTTGGTATTCATTTGGTGGTATGGACGTAGGAACAAACAATGTACCTATTTCGAGCACGTTTTCGTTCTTGAAAGACAGAAATTCACTGAATGAAGATACATCGGCTATATCGTATTGTATAATGATATTCAAGACTACATTTTTGTCCTTCGCATGAGATACGTCTCTTGGAATGGCTAAGATCCTTGCTTTATTAGAGCTATCATATCCTTGTACTCTTTTTATTTGGTTTTACTTTATCAATTACAACTTTGTAATATGTTACTGTTGCAATAATGTTTCCAACAAAAAGCCACAAAGAAACAATATGAACTGTTAGTTTGCTGTGCGATTGTACAGGGTGGTAAATAATATTATTCAAGGGGGGGAACGCTACCTGACGGATGAAAAGCAATTGCCAGATTTTGAACCTCAGATGGATTTTTAATTATAACATGGTGACTAGATAGCCCAAAGTATTTTCTACTATTCTGCGCAAGGCCAACCTCTGTATCTATTAAGCTTCGCGATCAGCAGGCATTTTCTGGAGTCACCCGTACACAGTGGGCATTTCCACATAGAGCAGGCGGCATTTTTTGCCGACATAGTTTTTTTGAATCCAAAATCACTTTTTTATACGTTTTCGCATACGGTATTTCCAGCAGTGTGGCAAAGGTGAGTCGCGGAAGGTTTTTCAGAGGNCAGAGACCTAGGCTTCAAATACCCCCCTAGAAAAAGTTTGCAATTGTTTTAAAGCAAAGTTTCAGACTCGCCGTAACCTAAAACCTATAAATTTGTGCTTTGAAAATATTTGCGCGATGCTGAGAGGTCTTCCAAAAAATCGATATCAAACTTCTAACAAAAATGCTCACAAATGTCCGATTTTTAGAAACTGAGCAATACTTTGCCGAAGGCGGCCAGCTTATATACCATTAGGTGCAGCTTTTCATGCTGATTCCGAATATGACCTTATTTTCAAGCAAAAGTACTTTCTCAAGGGAGAAAGCTGCGAAATACTCCAAAATCCTTAGGGTTTTTCGAAAGCCTGGAACGAAGCACCCTTACCGAACTGCGCTTAGCTGCGACCAGAATATGTGGAGGAGGTGTAGAGGAACATTTTGAGCTATTTTTCATGTTGATATCTAGTGCGCGGAGTTGCGCGCGTGCATTTTTATGAGGTCACCTTTTTTTTAAACAGGTTTTCTAGAAAGATCTTTGAGCCTCAACAGAAATTTAAC